GAAGGATCAACAAAAGACTAGAGGTAGCATTTTAGAAGAAGAGCATTGACTCAGGATCCATATGAACTTTTTGCTTTTCACGCAAAGTAGCAATATTCATAACGTATCTTTTTTTATAACTTATCTTCAAAAATGAAATTGAATGTATTGATAATTACATTAAAAATGTCTTCCTTGCAGCATTGGCAGAGGTCATCAGCATCAAGGACTGTGAAACAAAAAAACAGTTTTATGTTCATTACATTGATTGTAAGTATGTCAGTTAATTTACCTTTTGTTTTCTCAATTGCATCATAAGGGAGACTTCTTGAAATTCAGATTTTGATACATTCAACTGCAGGAGTTCACATCCATCTGATTACTATGCTTTCTTTCAAGTGAGCTGTAACACTTGTATATATTTTCCATTAAACTGTTCAGTTCATTTTGTGCAATCTAATTCTTCCTGCACACAGTTTCCAGCTCAAATGCCAAAAACATACAGTAATGTAGTTACAATTTTTTTTTTTTTTTGAAAAGATATTAGTTCATGAAAAGAATGTATCTTTGTTTTGTAACTTTATTTCAGATTATGAAGATGTGTTGTATTTTGTTATTGTAAAGAGGATCTTCTTTGAATGTTGAAAGTTGTAAGGTATCACCATTTTGAAATTATATAGGGGCATTATAATTTTTAGTTAGTTTCCAGACTCTATTGAACATTAAAAATATGGTGTAACCATTTAAATATGTGTTTTCTCAGCAGTATGCAAGATATTTATCATTCATGTGTGTAGAGTATTCTTTTACTAAATAGTCATCACATCCTCCCAGATAACAAACGGCTCGATGAGTGGGTGGATGAAGACAGACTGGACACAAGAAAGATCCAGTATCCCAGAAGGGACTTGGCCTCGGGAACTACGACCGGCCTGAACACACCAAAGAAAACACTGACAGGAACCACCAACTCACGACCCTCGTCTCCCGGACTGACACCCGTAAGATTGATAGAGTTTTAGGAATTTTGTTTTGTATAATTTAATATGATATGGAAATATGTTGTTTATGTTTAACAGCAGTTTGTTCAGAAGGGAATCTGTTTGGCTTAACTGGAAAAAAGTTAATATGCTGTGAGCAATTCTTCTTGGATTTTCAAAGATGCTTAGGTACACCTTAGAGAGTAATGTATATTCACTGATAATTAATGCTTTAATGCATGGTAGCATTCAATGTTTGTTGGTCTGTATGTTTTAATAGCAGGTACTGTTTGTTATTTTATAACATTGATTTTCATTTCTGTTATCATTCTTAGCTGTAATTGATGAGGAATTAGCAGCTGAATTGCTGAGCAAAAAAGAAAAATCACATGGACATGTTTTACTGAGAACAAAACAAAACAACAACAGACTAGAATAGCTTGCGAAAAAACAAAACAAAACAAAAGCTGGTATTCAGTCATATATTTCATATTTTAATATTATCAATATTATTAGTATTATCTTGTCATGATTCTTTAGATGCCACTTATTGACAAAATGAATTCTCTGTCATGGCTCAGGATCCAATAACTGGCCCCTCAGTGTTAGCTGCCTTACAACAAAAGCAACAGAAAAATAGAAAGAGGAAACTGGACCAGTCAGAGGTAAGATATTATCAGCTTGGCTGTCCTTTCACCTGCTGTGTCATAGAGGGAACACCTATCATGTATTAAAAGTGGCACCTGCTGTGCACAAGGGAAACATCTGTCACATAAACTTGCAACAGAGGGACCACCATTATATTCTGTGCATTAGTGTGGTGTGGACACTTGTTACAGTATACCTAGGGGTGGGGGGTGTCTGTCATTTAGTTTTACATATGAGGGAACATGCACTAAAAGAACATTTGTCATATAATGTATATTAAAAGTAATAGCTATCACCTGTTGTGCACATGAAGGAACCTTTTGTCATCTATTTTGTGCTAGAGAGTTCATCTGTTACCTATTTTGCCCTAGGAATCATTGTCACCGGTTGTACACTAATAGCAATGTTTGTGATTTAATGTGCACTATAGGGAACACTTGTCACCAACTCTGCACTATTAGGAATACCTGTTGTGCATTAGAGGCTACAATTTTTACTTACTACATGACATATAGAACAATGAAGGGAAGTACAGGAAAACACACAAATATGCCGAAGGCCTTTGCGCATTTACTGGGCAGGGCATACCCTGATGAAACAGTAAATGCGAAAAGGCCTTGGCATATTTGTGTGTTTTCCTGTACTTCCCTTCATTGTTCTACTTGAAATTTGTTCGACATGAATTCCACATGACATATAGAATATGTGTCACCTGGGGAACATCTTTGACTAGAGGGAAGATGTTGGCCATGCACTAGAGAAAGCATTTGTCACCTGCTATACACTAGTAGGAACATGTTACTTATGTACAAGAGAAAGCATGTGTCACCTACTGTACACTTGAGGCACTTGTTACCTACTGTGCATTGGAGGGGACACTTATCAGTTGTTTT